TTAACAATGTATTTTACATACCAAACCATCACACTCTACCCAGAAATATGTACAATATGTGCTTGCTAAAAGGCAAAGCAATATGCACTGTTCCCTTCAGGGCTGGCAGTGCCCCTACCTTTGAAGACATGATGTTCTTAACTTCCTCGTCTGCTGCACAGTGTGTCCCCGCCAGGTCTGGATTGCTGCTACTCATCACTCGGGCCTGCATCAGCTTTGAACTCACGGTGGCAGCAGATGTGCATCCATACGTGTGGTAGCGGGGATCCTGGGTGGCAGCAGGACCACCTGCACCCCACCAGGCAGAGATATGTTAACAGATGGTACAGTCGTGTGCAGGGATTGAGAAGGATCTGAAGAGGGAGGGTGGTAGTGGAATGAAAACCCACCAGGTCAGGACTTGGAATGAGCCCTCATTTTAAAAGCCTGAGGGGCAGGGAGGGGAAATAGACGTGAGGCATGGGTGTGCTAAGGATTGTGGGGGAACTGGAGAGAAGCTCAGCTCATTTGTCACTGCCACAAGAAATCAGACCCCAAGACTGGCAGAACTTCTGAATTCTCAAGAAAAGCTAAGGTATGTGGACATATTTATTTGAGTAATATTTAAATGATGGCAACCTTATAAATCTTGGAGGAATGAGTCAATCCTTCACAAAGTCATTTGAATCTCATGAGGACAAGTATATACAATGTCTCAAAATGACTCCATCTCTCCAGTTTTAAAAACCCAACTGAGGGCCGGGTGAATCCCGGCAGAGGCAGGACCATCTCTGTGAGTTAGAGGCCAGCCTGGTCTCCATAGCAGATCCAGGCCAGCTGTGGCTACAGGGAGACTCTGTCTCAAAGACAAAAACAAACAAAAACAAAAAACCACCTGAGGGCCTGGAGAAATGACTCAGTGGTTAAGAAAGCACTGACTGCTCTTCAGAAGACCAAGGTTCAGTTCCCAGCACCCACATTGCAACTAACAACTGTCCTAACTCTAGTTCCAGGAGATCCAACACTCTTTTCTGGCCTCTGCAGGCATTGCATGACACAGGTGCACTTACATACATACATGCAGGTAAAATACTTCTGATACACACACAGGAAAAAAAAAACACCTAAAAACTTAACTGAAATCATAGATTTACGTGAAATACGACTGAAGAGACCAAAATTGTGTAAAGTTTGAGTGTGGAACTTTATGAACTCCATCAATGACACTTTTTCTATCATGCTACCCAGAAATTATGGTTTATTACTTTGGAAATAAGAATAGTGACATGGATTATTGTTATCAGTTTAGTTTGGGAAAATGAGAAATTTTTTTTATGATGAAAAGTTAATGAACTTTCAATGTTATCACTGCTATTGGATAGATACAATTTTCCTTATTATTCTAGAATCTTATATAATCAGCACTTCTCCATCTTTTAAAAAGGAGATTCTGAACTAAATCATAAATTGGCAACTGAGTAAAGATCATTGGGAAATTATGAACTAGAAAGTAAAAGAGGGATGGAGGGAGGGAAGGAGGAAGAAACATCTAGAAATTTTAAATTTCAGCACACATAAGTTTTGTACTCTGTTGTATTTTATTTTGAACCCCATGGCAACGGGATGGAGGTGGGAGTGCCTGGCTAGATCCCCGATGAAATGGGGGAGATGTCTGGCAAGATCCTTGTCCCCTGGGGAAATGCTACCTGATTTGTGCATGTCCCTGTGCAGCTCAGGCAGCCGGAAGGCGTAGTGCACATAGGATGCCAGCAGGCAGTTCCTCCCGTGCTGGTCCTTGCTCAGGTCCTTGCTGTTGTGCAGACTGTTGGCAATGGCCACCACGGACTCGAAGGCAAACTGGGAGAAATTGGCTGAGGAATCAAGAGAAACAAGAAGCTGAGGTAGCCGTTCTCCAGGCCAGTAGTAATGAGCCCTGATCACTGACCACCCCAGACAGACCCTTTTTCTTAACACTGGGTTGCATAGTTCACACTGACCTGCAATTCACTACAATCCTCCTGTCTCAGTTTTCCACATTCTGGGATTATAAATGTGTGCCATCATGCCTGGCTCACACACCCTCCTATCTTCCTCCTGCAGGCAGGATTGTTTTTTTCAACCAGGATGTGTTTGCGTTCCATCCTTCTCTAAACCCTGCTGAAAAATTGAGCCTATACAGAAGGTTCTCAGGCTGACCTTATCAGTATCACCTGGAACTTTGTCCAAAGTGTAAAGTCTTAGGCCTCACCCCAGACCAGCTGAACCAGTATCTGCATTTCAACAAGTTGCCCAGGGGATTGGAGAGCATGCTGTTTTGAGATGAATTGTCCCACAGCACAGATTCTTATAGCGATGAAGCTATAAATGTAAGTGTATGCATGTTACGTCTTTCCTCACAGTGGGTCCATGAAAGCTATCTGTGCCCTCTTGGTCTGTTGCTTAAACCAACCTTGTGCCTGTTTCTGTTCAAATTCCACTCCCCTCTATTGAGGTGACCACATGTTATTTGACATCTGCTCTTTCGTCTCTGTGACTTTGCTTATGCTCTGTTTTCACACAGGGAGCCTTCCTTGCTTCTAGCCACAAAAGTCACACTGACCAGAAAGTCACACCACCGCTTCTATGTTCACCCTCCTCTATGAAGCCTCGATCATTTCACAGTGCTGGGATTAAGTGAGTCCAAAGTAATGCATTCTGAAGCTGTGTTCACCGAAGGCTGGAAACCATTCACAGGCTAAATGTATTTCTTGAAATTTCTTGCCCCCACCCTATTGTGCTTTCCATAGGATCAGACAGAGCAGGTTCCAAGTAAATGCTTGCACATTAAGCACTTTGTGTGTGTGTGTATATTCATATGTAAACACGTGTGCATGGGTGTATATATATGTGTGTGTAGACAGTAAAGTCAATATTGGGTGTCTTTCTCAATCATATACATATATATATATATACACACACACACACACACACACATATACATTTTTTAGACA